AATTGTTTTCCCTTCCATGATGAATGAATAGCGATTTTTGAAGCCATCATGTGTTACTCTCCTATCATATTGCCATGGTCTCCCCAAAAGTAAATGTCCAGCATGCATAGGAACCACATCACAAAGTACCTCATCCTTATATCGTCCAATAAAGAATGAAACCAGAACTTGCTTATTTACCTTGATTTCTCCACAATTGTTTAACCACTACAGCTTATATGGCCTTGGATGATTCATCATAGGTAAATTAAGCTTTTCAACTAAAACAGTGCTAGCTGGATTAGTACAACTACCACCATCAATAATCACACTACATACCTTGTTTTTGACATGGCACCTCGTGTGAAATATATTGTCACGTTGTACTTCATCATCTTCTTTGGCTTGCACATTCAAAGCTCGCCTAGTGACAGGCAATTCTCCATCAACGGCATATTCCACCTTCTTTTCCCACTCCAAATACACATCTGGATCATTTTTGCCTTGAAATGGAGGAATCTTCATCTTGATGCTGCCTAAGTCATGATCTTGCCGATCTCCCCACCTTGCCAGATTTTGGTTTCCTTTGTTAAATCTATATCTTTGACCCCCTCTACCTCTCATAAATCTGTCCATGCTGAAATTTGAGTTCTGGGCATCATCGTTGAATGCATCTTCATCATTGTCATCAAGATCGTGATTATGCAAATTTGGACTTCCATTCTGTATTTGGTATAACTTGGCAATGGCTACATCCTTCTTCTCCATTTTGTCTTTAATTTCACCAAACATGATGTCTAGCCTCTGAAATTGTTGTTGCATAGCTTTGAGCATGAAGGAATCATCCACTTGGAGTTTTCTGTCATCACCGCTTAACATGATTAAAACCTACAAGGAATGTTAGAAACAGAAAATAAAAGAACCTCTCAACACTCCCTTACGTGTTTCACTCCACTCTCTCACAGAATGGCACTCAACGCTCGTGTTTTACACACTGTGGAACTTGGCTTTTCTCTTAAGTATTGCTCACACCTCTTGCCTTTTTCCCTCACTCAACTTTCCTCTTTCAGTTCGTTATTGAACTAAACAAGCTCAATTCAAGTTATTTTGCAGCAATCTAACTCCAACAAATCTGCAAGAGTGAAAGGAAACAAAAAGAGACAAAGGAACGACCAAGAAAAGCAATAAAAAACCCAACCCAAACAAATTAAAATGAACAGATCAGTTCAAGCACT